TCTGGGTCCAACATTTGGTCAGGGAAAGCAGGAAGACCAGGAAGTTCTAGGTAATCCTTGGGTACATAGCAAGTTCCAGGCCAGCCTAGGCTACACGAGACCTTTTTAATCTCAAAACAAACAGCAAACACAAAAAAAGTTAAATATAATTCAAAAGATAAATAAAATTTATAGTTACACGTCCGTTTCTACTACAAAGTTGTTTTCTAATCTATATGTGTAAGTTGAATAATATCTCCTTTTTAAAGCTAGAATTTTTTTACTTAAAATACTACCTTATACAGAATAGTGTATTATTTTCCTTTATCCTCAACATTGGAAGGAATACATTATCCTTTCTATTCATAAAGGAAAACATAATTTGGTCAGATCTGAAGGAGTAAAACCAAAATTTGGAACTGGGTCCCCTGACTTTAATTCTAATGTTCTTTTTTGCTAACGTACCACAAGTGAAATGAGATACTTCTTTTTCTTGTGAGATATTTCTTAGATTCTGCTCTGAGTATCAACCAAAATGAAACTAAAGAAACATCACTACTATTCTTTTTTGTTTTCTTTGTTATCAGAGAGGTAAGAAAGATAAATATGAATCTAACGAGTAAAATCAGAATTTTTCTAGTGGAGGGAATTTTGTAACACCTTTAATCCACCTCATTTATTTTACAAATTAAACTTAAATGGAACTGGAGAATGCCTCTGAAAAGGACCTAAACCATGAATGAACTTTTCTGTTTGCGCTTTTAAGAGTATAGAAAACATTGCCTCGTCGGTGCTTGGAAAGTCGGTCTTTGTTAACTGGCCCCATCTGGAAGAAGCTAGAGTTGTGGCCGTATCAGATGGTGAAACCAAGTAAGATACAATTTATGATTTCTCTAACATGTTTGCTTTGCTGTTTGATCACTTTCATTTATTTTTGAGGGATAAAATTATTATAAGAACATTTACACTCTAGTGCAAAACTATTCTCCGACTACTTGAAAGTCAACCACTGTGCAGAGTTTATTATATATACTCCTGGGGATATTTTAGACATATTACATTGTGTTAGTTTCTTTTGTTCTTAATAGCTTGGAAGTTTTATCACCCAGTTCTTTTCTGAATGACAACTATTATATTATTTAGCAAATATATTTTTCTTTCTGATAAGAATTAACAACATATATAACCTTACCTTTTCCATATTCTTCCCAGATTTCATTTCAATAATACACTGATTTATTGTGTATATGTATTTCCTTGAATCAGTATTTAAAGTCTTAACATTTATTTAGTAATTACCTTTATGAAACCATTTGAAATAAGGCTAAAAAAAAAAAAAAAGAAGTCTGTTCTCTCCTTCTACCATAGATTCTGGGGATTGTCAGGCCTGTACAATAAATGCTTCTACCTGCTAAAATAGATACTACATTAATTTTTAAATCAAATCAGTGAGACAAGACTTTGCTGTGTGGCCCTGGCTTGTCTGGAACACACTTTATTGACAAGTCTCATCTCATACATGCACACATCTTCTTGACTCCACCCCTGAGAGTGGAGGGTATGTGAGTACACCACTATACCTGTACTTGTCCTTTTTATTTGAAGGAGGCATTTATTTTACGTATGTGTATGGGTGTTTTGCCTGCATATATGTCTGTGTACTGTGTGTATGAGTGTTGCCTGCAGAGACTAGAAGAGGGTATTGTACTGGAATTATAAATGGTTGTTAGCTGTCATGTGGGTGCTGGAAATTGAACATAGGTCTTCTGGAAGAGCAGCCAGTGCTCGTAAGCACTAATCCATCTTTCCATCCCCCCTTGTCTTATATTTTTAAGAATAACTTTTTGCCATTTTATTTAATCTCATACTCTTTTAATTAGTGAATAGTTAGGCAGGTCTTTCTTAGTCATTTTAAACTTTTATTTCATATAAAGTTTGTTCTCTTTTTTACTTGTGCATAGCTAAAACTAAGTTTTGTTCAGAGAAATTGGGTCAGTATTATTATATGTCAAAAAATATCTTTTTATTTGTTTTTATTGTACATTGGATTATGATTTTAGAAGACCAGTCTTTGTCCACTCTCATTTCCCCTTAGCCCTGCACACATCTCCCAGTTGTGTTCTTTCATAAATGTTATTGATTATTGTAATTGTGTTGAAATTGTAATTGCTGGCACTAGTCTTTCTGTGAGAAATCTTGAGGATTGTTAGGAGAGTAAAATTTAGTTCTCCCTTTGTGATGTAGTCTAGTTTGCTAATATTTTCTTTTAAATATTTCATGGTTTTTACCATCTTTTATATTAAGTCAGTAATCCATTTTAAATGATTTTTTGCATAATTTTACAAATATATGTTGTTTAATATATTTGCCTATGAATCATTCAGTTGCTACAACATCATTTGTTAAAGAGTAGCTTTTTTTTGTTGGATTGCTTTTGCCTAAAGTTAGTTACAGGGGCTGGAGAGATGGCTCAGCAGTTACGAACACTTACACTCTTGCAGAGGACTTGAGTTTGCGTCCCAGCACCAGCACATCTCACAACCATTTTAATCCAGTTTCAGGGGATCCAAAGTCTTGTCTGGCCTCTTCAGGCACACACTAAAGACACATACATACATGCAGGCTTTTATATTTTATACATATAAAAGTAAATAAATCATTTAAGAAAAACAATTAGGATCTGGATCATGGTAGTGTATTCTAGAGCTTTTATCTGCTATGCACAAAGCCCTGCCATGACAATAACAAACCTTTTTTAAAGCTGAGTGTATTGTGTGTGTGTTTGTCTGGTTCTCTAGTCTATTCATGATTATGGACTCTTCTATGCTCTTTTTTTTTTTTTTAATTTTTTTATTTTATGTCCATTGGTGATTTGCCTGCATATATATCTGTGTGAGGGTGTCAGAGGCCCTGGAACTGGAGTTAGAGACAGGTGTGAGCTGCCATGTGGATGCTGGGAATTGAACTCGGGTCCTCTGGAAGAGCATCCAATGCTCTTAACCGCTGAGCCATCTCTCCAGCTCCTGTGCCCATTCCTTGATTATAACTGTATGCCAAGTCTTAACATCAAAGTGATACATTTGGCTTTTATTTTATTATTTTTTTGTTTGTTTTGTTTTGTTTTGTTTGTTTACTTGGTTGGTTGTTTGGTTGGTTTTCCAAGACAGGGTTTTTCTGTGTAGCCCTGGCTGTCCTGGAACTCACTTTGTAGACCAGGCTGGCCTCAAACTCAGAGATCCACCTGTCTCTGCCTCCTAAGTGCTGGGATTAAAGGTGTGCACTACCACCACCAGGCTATGTCTTTCTTCTTAAAAATGGTTTTAGCTATTCTAATTTGTTGGATTTTTAAGAGAAATTGTTCTGTATCTATTAATATTGAAGGAATTTTTATAGAAATTTTATTAAACCTAAAGGATATAATTGCTCACACTCATAATTCCAGCACTCTGGGCTGAGGCATGAAGATCTCTACAAGTTCAAGACTAGCCCAAGCTATGTAGTCTTGAAAGAGAGATGGGGATGAGGGGGGAGGAGGGAAAAGAAGAAGGGGGGAAAAACTTAAAAACAAGAAAAAGAAAATTTTTTATACCTATAGATGAATTTCTGGAAGGTTTGATACTTTTACTGTATTGGGTTGTCTAACCCATGAACACTATGTACCTCTCCATTATTTAAATCTTTGATTTCTTAGTGTTTTTTTTTTCATTACACTAATGATATGTCATCTTGTTATGTTTATACTTAAATAGTTCATCTTCTCTTGAGATGAGACAGGGTCTTGCTATGTTGTATAGGCTGGTCTCAAAGTCATGCCCAAGACACCCTTCTTTCCTCAGCTCCTCAAGTAACTGAGCATCCAGGGATGTACCAACGTGCCCAATGAAGGAAATTTTCACGTCTTTATTCTCAAGTTTATATTACTTTATTTCATAAAGGTTTGAGTTTGGGGGTTTTGTTTTTACAAGTGTACTATGTAAAATTTGTTTACTATGAACACTGACCCTGCAAAAAGCTCTGCATTAAAGCACAAGTTTGGACTTAACATAATTTCTACTTTGTTTTGATCCTAAGGTTTTACTTAGAAGAACCTCCAGGAACACAGAAGGTTTATTTAGGGAAAACTGCTCCACCAACTAAAGTCATCCAACTTGCAGATAAAGAACAGTCGAACTGGACTAAAGAAATACAAGGAATTTCAGAACAGTGAGTGTCATAGAGAGTTCGGTTGAGGGCTGGAGGAAATGACTCAGAGTTAAGACCCCAGGTAGTGATTCTCGTATTCTTTAACTCCAGCCCCAGGGCATCGGTGCCCTCTTCTTCTGGTCTCAGTGGCACCAGGCACACTCATGGTACACAGACAAACACGGGGACGAACATCCACACACATTAAATAGACACATTTTTAAAAAGAACTTAGTTGAGCATGATGGCACACAGCTTTAATTACCACCCTCGGAAAACTGAGGCCAAAGGACTATGAGATCGATTCACTCTTCCTAGCACAGTGTCAGATATGTGATGAGGAAATGCAGATACGAAGAGTCCAGGGGTCTGGGGATTGTAGCTTAGTATGTTCAAGGTTTGAGTTCAATCCCCAAAGCCATTTTAATAAAAAAAAAAAAAAGGATTGGAGAGTTAAAAGGTATGCAAATTTTAATTGAAAGCCAAAAGAATCAATAAGGTAATTATTTATGAAAAGTTTATATCATATATAAGTGGAACAAATGAGCCTTTGCAATGAATACTATACTTAAAATACTCCTCTGTTTGGTGAGTTCCATGGTGCCTATTTTTACTTTCTCTTAAATCTAAATTTTTTTTTCATGGTCAGTACTTTATTCTTTGAAGAATGGTCTTAAAACATCATATTAAGTAAGGCTGAAAAGTAAAGTTTAAAATAGTCAGTTTTATAAGGATAAGTTATGACACATGTAATGATTAGTCACTCTGAGAAATTCTGATCTTAGAGCTTATGATGCACCCACTGGCAATAGCACCCACGTTTTCCACAAAGCCAGTCATCATTTTTCTCTTGTCTGCATAGATTTCTTCTCATTGGCTATCTTCTGCTTTTGCTGCATGATCTCAGAGTCCCTCTGCTTTCTCTGAGAGGTAGTCAAACTATCCTCTTTTCTTTTTCCTTTGCTAATTTCCTGGGGTTTTTTCATATTTTTCATATTTTTCTCTTAAATCTAAATTTTTTACTACATTTATTTGGGCAGGGGAGCTTTCTTGAATGTGAAATTCTAGAGTTTTTACAGATTGATTTCTCATTCAGTCACATAGACAGTGGAGAAATGGTCCACAGACTAAAATCAACACTATCAAAGTTTTATGGAAATGGTTCTCAACCTATGGGTTGAGACTTCTTTGGAGTCAAACGACCCTTTCACAGGGGTCACTTAAGACTATCGGAAAACACAGATATTTACATTAGGATTCACAACAGTAACAAAGTTACAGTTATGAAGTAGCAACAAAAATAATTTTATGGTTGAGTTCACCACAACATGAGGAAGTGTATTAAAGGGTCGAAGCATTAGGAAGGTTGAGAACCAGCCAGGCAGTAGTGATGCACACCTTTAATCCCACCACTCGGGAGACAGAACCAGGCACATCTCTGTGAGTTCAAGGCCAGCCTGGTCTACAGAGTGAGATCCAGGACAGGTACCAAAATCTACACAGAGAAACCCTGTCTCGAAAAACAAAAAAAAAAAGGAAGGTTGAGAATCACTGCTCTATAGGTCGCTGAGAACTGCTGTGCATTTATTTGCAGTAAGTATTTGATTGTGAATAGTTGGTTTGATTGATGATTATCCCTGGACTGCTTACATACTTCTACATATATATCTTCTTTTTTATTTTTCCTTTAGATACCTAAGAAGAAAGGGAATAATAATAAATGAAACATCTGCTGTTGTATATGCTCAGTTGCTCACGGGTCGTAAATATCAAATCAGTCAGAATGGTGAAGTTCATCTGGAAAAACAGTGGTCAAAACAAATTCTTCCTTTTGTTTATCAAACTGTTGTTAAGGTAAGGTCCCCAAGTCTCAATTCTTTTGTAATGTCACTATTTCACATTGGTTAAAAATACTGCCAGCATGATCTGGTGGCCGAGGCCTGTAATCCCAACTGTTTGGGAAGGTAAAGGAGAAAGATTATAGGTTCAAGGTCTATCGAAACCAAATAGTTCAAGGCCAGCATAGACAGCTGGTCAACCTAGCAAGAACATTTCTCACAATTTTGGGGGGAACTAGAGATACAGCTCAGTGATAGAGTACTTGCCTAGCATTCATAAAGCCCTAGATGTTTGAAGACTCAGCAACATGAAAAAGAAAAAAGACAGTTACAATAATTAATATTTATTTATGAATAGAATAATAACTTAGCAATATATAATAAGGGGTATACATATCACAAAATATATTTTTGGGGGGCTGCCCAGATGGCTCCACAGGTCAGGGTGCTTGCAGATAAGCCTGACAACTGAATTCTACCTGTGGAATGACCAAGCAGGAGGCCTTGAGTCCAGTCCTTAGGACTCGTGTGCTGGAAGGAGAGAACCAGCTCATACAAGTTGTTCTCTGACCCAAACACACACTAAAGAAATGGGTCTGCTCTGCTTTTGGTTTTTTAGATCTTTTAATATTATTCTGTCTAAGGATTATTCCATGCCCACTCAGCATGTGCAAGTAGGAACACGGTTTTGATTTTCTAGTAGTTTTTCTGTTGTTCTTCCTTTGGTTGGTTCTTTGGTGTTTGGTTTTTTGAGACAGGGTCTCTCTATGTAGCTTTGGCTGTCCTGGAAGTCACCATATAGACCAGACCTGCCATGAACTCACAGAGATGTGCCTGCCTCTGCCTCCCAAGTGCTGGGATTGTTGGTGTATGCCACCATGCTTGGCTGATTTTATGGTAGTTTTTAAGAACTTATTTTCTAGAATAAATTTTCTACAACACACCATTCTTAACATGTTGACATTTTTTCATGATACTTCAAAAATCCTGGCCTTAGCCAGGTATAGTGATGAACACCTGTAGTCCTAGCTCTTGGAAAGTTGAAGCAAGAAGATTGTGTGTTTGAGACCATGGTGGACAACATATCAAGATCCTTTCTTTAAAAAAATTTCTTTTTGCCAGAAATTGACTAATGAACATTAAAGATTTTCCCTCTGTGTGCATAATCTCTAATATTGTGAGGGGACAGTAGGTCCTCTTTATCCAAGAGTTGGTGTTTGACAGCTTCAGTTACCTTCATTCAACCAAGGTCTAAAAATATTATCCAGAAGGGGCCAGAATTAAGCAATTCATACATTTAAAATTGATCACCATTCTGAGTATTGAGACAAGTCTTAAGCTGTCATTCAGATGGATATCATCTTTGTCCAGTGTATCCATGCTGTGTGGGCTACCCACTGAGTAGCATCTCAGTGCCAGCTCAGCTGTCACAGTATCGTGGTGTTTGATAACATTTATTTTACTAAACGACTCCCAAGTGCAAGAGCATTGGTACTGGCAGTTAGAAGATGCTCCCTTTAAGTGAAAAGACGAAACTTTTCCTCATAGGATGAGGATGGTCCGATTACAGATAGTAAGAATGAATATTCCATTCATGAAATTGTAAGGGAAAGTGCTTGTTTCACTATTGCTGCTCTGCTTGAAGCTTGGAGCATGCGTCCACATTTCATAAGTTCTCATTTGTCAACCACATTTCATCATGGAGGCATGTATCGTCACATCATCACATGAAGGGAAAAGGTGAATACAGTGCTAGACACTTTGAAAGGAAGGGACCACATGCACATAGTCTTAGTCTTCTGTTACTGTTATCTTTCACTGTTCTCTAGTGTGTAAAGTAAACGCTGTCATAGATGTGTAAGTATAAAAAAGTACTTATAGGTTTTGGTACTGACCATGGCTTCAGACATACATAGTGTGGAGGGGGCTTGACATCTTACCCTATCCCATAGTTAAGGGGAATACTGCTATCTATACTAACCCTAAATTTGGGAAATAAACGAAAGTGTAGTAATTAAGAGCACAGATTAACTGAGGTGGCTTCTTTACTATGTGACCTTGGACAAGATTCATTGCCTTTTGTGCCAGTCTTCATAAAATGAGGTTAAAAGTAAAGGTCTGCAACCAAAGGTTGTGTAAGAATTAAATGAAATAGATAAATGTATGAAGTATCTAGAAGAGAGAATGATGTAACAAGTCAGTATGTTTTAAGTTTTGGTATTATTGTATAGAAAATCTTAAATTTGACATTTGCAGATAAAACAGATTTAATCCTATAAGAAAAAAAGATGATGTGCAGACTTTAGAAATACTAGCTGTGATGATTAACTCCTATTTCATTTTGTATAGGACATCCGAGCTTTTGACTCTCGTTTCTCCAATATCAAAACATTGGATGATTTGTTTCCGCTGAGAAGTATGGTCTTTATGCTGGGAACTCCTTATTATGGCTGCACTGGAGAAGTTAGTTTCAATTTTGTTATTAATTAACTTTTTATTAATACAGTTTTTCATCTTAAGTGCAAAATAAAAATGTAATGTTAAAGGGGGAAACATAAGAAAGAATTCACTCATGAAACTTAAGAACACAGTATTGAGCTATAGGGAAAAGTGGGTGATCAGGAGGTGGGAAAAAGTATTCAAAATCTGGTGGTTTTGGGTTTTGGGTTTTGGGGTTTTTGAGAGGGTTTCTCTGTATAGCCCTGGCTGTCCTGGAACTCACTCTGTAGACCAGGCTGGCCTCGAATTCAGAGATTCACCTGTGTCTGCCTCATGCTGGGATTAAAGGTGTGCAGCATCACCATCTGGTTTGTGTTTATAATATACTTGTTTATTAGGTTATATCTGAAACAACCATAAAATTTTTTTAAGTAGATTTTAGGCTTAGGGTTAATGAATTTTTAAATTTATTGATATGTTTAATAATTTTACTTTTCACACAGAAAAAAGTACATACAGATATGGAATAAGAGAAAATAAGAGTCGATGGGGGACAGATTGGCAGTACTATTAGAGATTCTGAAGCATATGTGCATATGGCACATGATTGTATGTGTATACATGCATATTTTTCTAGCTCTATTTTTCAAATGAATGCTACACTCTGGTAGCAGTGAACACACATAATACTCAAATTTTGACCTCTAAGACCATAGCACTTCACTAAAAGCAATAGTCCTTCTCACTAAAGTATCTGGTTCTAGGTCTGGAACAGGTAAGATACAAAATGACTTTGATACATCAGATGCCAAAAAGTAAAAGTGCTCAAAAGAATAGAAAGACCAATGCCAGTAAGCACAGGAACAAGGTGAAAGGGCTCCTACTGGCCAGATCTTAAATGTTTGAGTAACAAAACAATTGAGTACAGTAACAGATTAGAATACACAGATACTTATTCTTACTTACAAATGCATGGCCTTAGCTTGGCTTGTTTCTAGCCAGCTCTTCTACCTTAAACTATCCCATTCTCTTTAACTACATATTGCCTCTGGGCTTTTATCTTTCTTTATTCTACATATCTTTCTTTTCTTCTTACTCCATTGCTGGTTGTGTAGCTGGGTGGCTGACCCTTAATGTCCTCCTCTCCTTCTCCTTTTCTTGTTCCCCAATCTTTTCTTCCCAAATTTCTTCTATTTACTCTCTCTGCCTGGCAACCCCACCTATCCTTTCTCCTGCCTTGCTATTATTGGCTGTTCAGCTCTTTATTAGACCAATCAGATGTTTTAGATAGGCAAAGTAACAGCTTTACAGAGTTAAACAAATGCAGCATTAAAGAATGCAACACTTCTTTGAATTATTAAACAAATATTCCACAGCATAAATGAGTGTAACACATGTTAAACTAATATTCCACAACATATAACTTTACTACAAAAAGCAAAATAAGGAACTTTAAGGGGAATAGTGGTGCAGTTCAGTGGTAGAGTACTTGCTTAACTTACTATGTTCAATCTCTAGTATATACAAAGGAGAAAGGCAGAATGAAACATGAAGAACAAATTGTATTCTTCAGAGTACTTATTGTTTTTAAAACACACACCAAAAAATGATCTGGATATAGTTTACATTAAAGAATGCTCAATATACAACTAGGAGCTGGGAACATAGCTTAATAGTGGCCATAGGGATATCTACAGTGTTGACATTTGGGAGGCTGG